AGTGCGTTGCTGGCATTTTGAGGATTATTACGGTTTTAAGGATATGGGATTTAGGGATTGGGGATGGGGATCTGGTTACCTCACTCACAACGACAAACGTATTGTATCCTGGTATCATTCTTTAACTTATACATTTGTATGAATGATATTGTCCTTTTTATTGAATTTGAAGCTGAAAGGCATTATAACAATTTACTCAGACACTTAACCATAAATTATATCCGCTTTGTTGGTACTCTGTGGTGTAAGCAACCGCAATATCATTTACTTAATTAATAAAGTAACTTTTTAAATTGTTGAACGTATAATATTCCAATTAACTCGTGTAATTATCACTGTTGCAATTAATCAGAGAATGAATTGCTTTTAATAGATATATTTACTGTTTTATTACATATTGGCTCGTGTACGTCAACAAGCAGGAGTTTGTTACTTCGACTAGGTACTCTAAACTTGGTAGTAAATGTAATAGAAGCTATTATAGGGTCACTGAGGAGTTGTTTAATGTTGTAGTTGTTAATTGAACGTCTCCTATAACAGTGGAATGGAAGCATGGTATTAGATGATAACTGGTTTCAAACTTAAATATAAATACTTTCATGACTAAAAATAACGCATACTTCTATGACTTAAAATCTGAACATTTTGGTCAACTTACCTACTTATTTTGCAGATTATTTTTACTTTATTTACCTATTTTATTGTTTCTGTCCAGCTAACAATTGTACCTATAGAAAACTGATATATTATAACAAAAAATCTTATATCCGTGGCTAGTATTATAATTTCTTTTAAGTTAGTACCTTATGCCTAAAATAACAATTTAAAGCGTCACATAAATAATTAATGATAAAATTTAAAAGAGGATTAAAATTAAATTAAAATCTAAAATAAAAGATTTTGAGTTGTTAAATATTTTGGCGAGTCATTTCTAATTATAAATCTGAAATCGGCCGATGACGAATGAAGTCAAGGGTCTAACTTGTTAATATTTTGTCTGAATAATTACTTTTTAAAATGGCAAGATAATTCCGTTCCTATTTATATTCAGTGCCTGATAGTGTATATGTTAAAAGGATTGGATCCGTGCAAAAAGGGGGACTAAACAAGTGAGTGGGACGATATCTTATTTCCTGTGTTACGTGTAGCGAGGTAACTTTACTGTTTTACGTATAATTTCCATTCATTCCATTTGAAGTGAAGATTTTGTAACCTTACAAACCTTACATTGAAGATCTTTTTCTATAGAATAATACCCATTGATTATGACAATCAAATTTTAATACTTTTCCGAATCTAAACACAATGCTAAATACAAATTGTTGTTCCGAGTCTGGGTGTGATGTGTATGTGCAATTGTATGTTTGTAAATGCAACCGTGACACAGGAAAAATCCTAGTGTAGGGCAACATTGTACAGCGTTAAATAAAAGAAGAAATGTAAATAACACTACTACATTTCATCCCCGAAGGTACTTAAAATCGATTCTTTATTTTGCATTTTTAACTTTGTTAAGAATTTTAAAGTAAGTAATCGATAGATAATAACTTTCTGCAAATCTCCAAGTTATAACTACTGACAGGTACATTAATGATTCGCTGCACTGACCATGGGCTGTTGGCAACGACACGTGGATTCATTGCCTGTCATTTGTTGCACATCCCAGACCCAATTAACTGTAATTTCCCCATTGACGTTTCAAGTACCTCCACATGCATTGTAGACTGATCATAAAAAAATTGTGAAGCGTATTTCATAACATATATTTTCGTACTTACCTATGACTTTTTATTTTTTAATGTGGCCAGTAAATTGTTTACTCTATTAACACTATCATACCTATTATATGATTATATTTTAATAGATTGGATGCCTAATGATATCCTGTTTCAAGGGTACCGTTCTAAAAGATTACGACGGGTAAAATATTTTTAAAATTCGAACAAAACTCTGAGTTTGCCGTTATGCAACCAATACCGCTAGATGACTTACTAAAAGAGGCCAAAACGGTGTTCATTAAATAAATATTTATTTTAATTATCGGTCTGCATTCTAAACTAGGCCAGACCTAGGCATTTACTAAAAGTCTGAGGTTAAATCACTATTCATTTGTTTGAATGTCCTCCATTAACATTTATTAGCTCACGTTTTGAAATCGAGGGTGTATATATCTGTTATTTAAATAGTTTGGTATGTTTTAATATATTTTTAATGTAATAAAGTATTTGAATGTCTTTATTCGAATTACAACTCTGTTTTGTAAATGGTTGAGTTTATTTTTTAATGTTTGCACAATGTCATCCAATCTCTAGTTACTAGGTTGTCGAAGTATGTACTCGTAAGAAAATACTCATCTGGATTTACATCAATAGAATTACCGAGTCCCGTTCTGTATCGATGACGTCGCGTAGGTAGTATTAACACAGTGAACATATCGGGTCATAAGTTCTGTCACAAACTTTTGATGTAATAACTTATACGCCTTTTGACAATTATTTAAAAATTATATATGAAATGAAAGGTCATTAAATGTACAATATAATTTTATTTACATTATTCGAAATGCCCTCCCCCATTTTGAACACATGCCCTTAATCTACGCGGCCAGTCATCGATCGCTGCACGCACCACATTCATATCTATGTCTGCCGCTGCTTTAACCAGAGATGCTCGGAGAGACTCCAAATTCGGGTGAGGTTTAGCACAGACTTTTTCCTCCAAATATTGCCATATCTTGTAGTCCAGTGGGTTTAAATCTGGACTAGAAGAGGGCCAGTCTTCATGCCGGATGAAGTCAATTCCACGAGCGATCAACCAGTCTTGCGTACTTCGTGCCTTATGAGCCGGTGCAGAGTCCTGTTGGAATATCCAATGCCTGTTCCTGAACATTGTCTGAGAAAGAGGTTCCACTATGTTTGTTAGGACAGTATTTTGATAAACTTCGGCACTAGTTCTCACACCTTTTTCACAGAAAAACACCTCAGTTACGCCTGAATATGAGACTCCAAGCCAAACCATGAATGAGGAAGGGTAATGCCCACGCTGGACCCTCGCAATACGCGCGCTTGCTTCTTCACTGCTGTGGGCATACACCTTATCATTTTGTTTGTTAAAACTTTCTTCAATAGTAAAAATTTTTTCATCCGAAAAAAGAATTTCGCGGTATTTTTTTCCCGCGTACCGTCGTAGCAAAGCGCGGGATCTGTCTAGCCTAATTTTTTTTAAACGCTCGTTCAAAAAATGTCCTGTCTTTTTACGATAAGCTCGTAGTCCCAGGTCTTCATTTAGTACTCTTTTAACAGTGGTTCTGCTTAGCCCCATCTGCAGAGCTAGGATTTTTTGTTTACGTACGGGATTTCGTTCGATTCGCGCCTTCACTGCTTTGATGACCTTATGTGTCCGAACTGTGCGAGGTCGGCCGCTTCTCTTACGATCTTCGAAGCTTGACTCTTCGGTGTATCGTTTGATAGTACGATAAACAAACCGTAACGTTATTTTCAAATTTTGAAGAATATTGAAAATGTCTTTTGGCGCGTAACCACAGCGGTGCAACGCGATAACCGCGATTCTGTCTTCTTTATTCGACCACTCCATATTTAAAAATGAATAAAAAATAATTTCTTTTTTATTTTCTACAAGCGCGAAAGTTCTATTTTTAAAATAAGTCGAAGAATTTCTGGCCAGTAATCGAAAATTAAAAATATAAGGTTTTGACAGAACTTATGACCCGACTAAGTAGAGTTGTACTGTGGTATTAATATAACAATGAGTAAGCAAAATAATATTGAATATTATTACTACAAACTACTTAGGAGATTTTCTTATCTCTACCTCAAAAAATAATTCAATATGCTAACAAAATTATTAAAGCGGGGTTTTAGTGTGGGAGAGCCAAGTTTCGGCGCGGTACGGCTCGACCGGAATGATACCACGGCCTCGCAGAAAACAACCACATCGTTGTGTTTCGCCGTGTGAGTGGGGTTACCGTAGTCTCCCTCAATCTAATCCCTCCCCTCCCCCATCCCTTCCTAATCCTTAAATATCCGAAATCTTTATCCCTAGAAGTGTCCAAGGGCGTTGATTGTTTACAATAAGGTAATCCGTCTGCTCGTTTGCCGACCTATAGGTACAATAAAAAAATAAAATAAAAAAATATTTGCTTCTGCTGAACAGATTGGCAAGTCATACGGACTTGCCAATCTGTGTATCTTGAACATCGTCAAACGCACTTCAACATAAAACATCAATGACGACTTTCTATTTAAGCTTTTATAAAGATTTAGTAAATACTTAGGTAAGACTATTTTGATGGATCCAGTGATATTCCATACGACTTGAATCGTGTCCACAAATGTTGGTGACAGATAAGGCACTCTATTTTGTACCCTATTATAGGTACAAAGAAAACAAAATAGCAAGGCACTGGCTGGCTATCAGTTTCTGTTGAAATGGAACGCAAACTAAACTTTATGTAGGCCGCTAGGTGTCATTCTTCTCTATGAAATCTCACTTTAAATGTTCTCATTGTAAAGTATATGCTAATTAAAGGTTCAGTTTATTTTCAAAATAAATATTACTAGCGGCTCGGCCCCGCTTCGCACTGGTCCAACTATAAAAAAAATTAAATTTTCTTTATTAGTGAAAGAACAAAAGGGTCACTTTTCCCTTGGTTGGTTTTTAAGAACCTTCTTATCAAAGAAAATATTTCAAAAGTAAAGAGAGCAAGAAGAAGGTTCTCCTGAACATAATAAACGTAACAAATCAAAAAATTGACAAAATTGGTCCAGGCGTTGTTAAGTTATGCGTTTAGTTATTTGCGATTTTTATCTCTGCGAATTCACAATATTCCTACAGTTTCGACGAGATAAGTGCAAATTAACGCTGCATGCATGTATGATTAGACTTGTTTGTTATTGTCTCCAATACTCTTGTTACTAACAATGCGTGGTTGATAATGTCAAATATCGTGGTCTTACCGAGGGATGTTTCTGAAAGTTCGCTTACTTGGCGCGAAGTATGCGGCGCGTGGCGGGAAAATTGAAACAATCGACGGTCGCGCGTGGTTTACCGGCCGATACTCGGGCTTGGAAGTTTACTAATAGATTGAATTTCTTACACCTTCGAAGGAATGTTACCGTAGGTACTGGGTCTTTGGAATGTTTTACAGGCTAATAAATCATAATAAATATGAATATAGTTTTTACTATTAAAAAAGCGAAACATAAACATAAAAAAACTTGTAAATTTTTCCCTAAACTCTGTTCATAAAATAATTTCCAGTACAGAAATTTATTGTGGAAGCTATATACACGTATTATAGCTTCCACAACAAACAAATTCTGCTTTATATCTCTCATCTCATCACATCTCGACTCATCCGTACCTATTTACATATAAAATTCGAATAATAAACTAGTTATTGTTACTATGTTATGTTATATGATATATCTAATTTGGGATTTTAAAAATCACAACTAAATAGACGAATTAAAAATCTCATATAGAATTAGTTGAAAGCAAAGACATAGGATAAGTAGTATAGTGTAGAGTGGTAGAAAGTACATATGTACTTTCTATGATTATCTAGACACCACTGACATACGGTAAAGGTCAACATCGCGAGGAAACCTGGACTTATAATTTCTTATTATAAGTTTGAAATCGCCAACCCGCATTGAGCAAGCGTGGTGATTAATGCTCTAACCTTCTCCCTGTGAGAAGAGGCCTTTGCTCAGCAGTGGGCACTTATAGGCTGATGACCCTCTAGAATGCAGAAAGAATTGGGAAGAAAAAGTAAGAGACGGGAAGATAACACAAGGAATGAAGCAAGTCCATTATTCCGTGATGGTCTCGAACGGCAAGAGATAAAACAAAAAGGACGATCTTTAGAGGAGACCATGTCGGAAGATAAATTAAGGGTAACCGTTTGCCAAAATAGGAAAAAATAAATGTGAATTTAATAGCATTACTGGATTATTAGTATCATTGGTACTAAAACAAAGCTTTTATTAATTAATAAAAATATCAACAATACCGTTTTATTTTTATTATTTATGGAATCGGTTAAAAGCTTCCGACATTAATTTACACCACGACAACTTACAACGGGGTTAGCGTAGTCAGTATAGCTATGCACGTAGGGCTTGTTTAATACATCCGATATGATGTTCAGTGAACCACAGTCTACAAAACACATATTTTACACAACTACCTACATATCGATTGAAGATATATTTAGACTAAATATCAAGCCACCGTTGTGTTGGAAATGTAAGTAACTAGTTCCTTTCCGTCAATTTACAACTTGGAAAATGTACCTAAGTAGTTCTGTTAGATAATGAAAAAATATTAGACTAATAATGTTTTTAGTTTATCGTATGGAAATAATATGTATTAAGACAAACTGATAGAATGATCATTACGTAACCGCTCACTAAAAAAATACTAATATGTGACGACACATATTTGAAATCAAAACACAGTCTTGAAAAAAGCATTTGGTTCCGTAAGAAAATAAAAAGATAGACATTAAAGAAAAAATACTCATCGTCCCTATTCTAACTTGATGTGAACCAATTCTTCAAAATTTTTGTTTCAACTATTATCACTACCTCTTTCAACAAAGGAATTTTGAAAACAGGACATCTCGCCATCAAACGAATTAGTTTGGTGAGTTTAATTGTAAGTTACCACCAAATGCTGAAGCTGTATGAATAAATTATTTAAAAAAAGGACAGCATAGATATTTCAAAAGCTTTACTATATTACAATGAAATAATTTAATATTCTTAGTGTTGGTGTGATACCCGAGTTTTGCAGACTGTCCGAAGTTACGTAAAGTTACACTTACCGAGGTCGGTTTGGTAATGGATGACCATTTTTAACACATTGAGAAGCTGTTTCCTGCAAAATAAGATAAAGCCGTCGGTGTCCGTTTTCCTAAAATATGTAAGTAAGATAATCGTTAAAACAATCTACTAGGTTATTTGGTTTCCATTCAGAAAAATAATATTTATATTGCCAAAATTCGACTAACTAATAACTATTTAAAATCACATTTAACCTCACAGTCGTGGTAATTCGAGACACAATAGGTACGCGAACGGCCGGCGTTCGCTTGGGGTTTAGTGTAGCAATATCAGATTTTCAGGGTTTCAGAGTAGAGAACCAACTTAAAGTAGAAGAAATAAGGGGTTGGTTTTCAGTCAGTGAGAGTCTAATACTTCCCCAAGCCAGACTGAGCGGGAGAAGTCGCTGTATGGCGTTGACCTTTCAAAAAGAGGCATAATTCTCCATGTATTTTTTGAGTATCATATAAATATAGTAGTAACTTATTCAGGGCAGATAGTAGCCTATCAATTTAAATAACCGGCTCTAATCTACTTGGGAAAAGGCAAGCAGAAATACAGAGAGTATCCACAAATAATATCATGCTTAAGTATTCTAGTAAATTTAAATGCCGTTGGTAGGAAAGCTATTATTCTGTCGGTTTTGAATTGTCCTTGTTGCCTGAATCATAGAGAACGAAATGTAACTAATGTTCCTGTTACAATAAAATTTGTTTGTATTAGATAAGATGAATATTTGCATCGGGACGTGACATTTTATTTAAGTTAGTATTAGAAACAGTTTCTGTATGCAGAGATGAGTCATGAATTTTCTTGTTGTTTCTCTTAATTAAAACATTGCAATCGGATTAACTTCACTTCTATGTTAAAGGGAATTACAATAGTTAAAAGTGATTTTTATTACTTAATCTTCTCAATGTGTGTGAATGTGTGGAAGTGTGGGAGAACCATGCTTCGACGTGAATTGGCCGGCTTGACTGGAGTGATACCACGGCCACACCGAAAACCGACGCGAAGGAACACATACGTTGTGTATCGTCGTGTGAGTGAGGTTACCGGAGGCTTAAACCTTTCCCCCCTCCCCCATCCTCATTTATCCTCAAATCCCTTATAACCCATAAGAGGCCGGCAACGCATTTGTGATAACTCCTTTAATATTACGAGTGTCCATTGGTAGCACTGATTGCTTACCATCAGATAATGGGCATGCTCGTTTGCTGACCCAATGAAATAAAAAGAAATGTCTTCATGGTTTAATTTGACTTAAATTGTCATAACATAATTTTCATTCAGCTAGTTTCTTTGTTCGCTTTGTTAGTATCTGAACTTGGCATTTACGATTCTTGGCATTCGTTTCCGTTGACTTACAAACTTACAAAACCTAAAAATAAAATCAAACGTTATTTTTACTAACAGCCAAAACTGGAAGTCTGGCAAAGTTACGGTTTGGACAGTTGAGTTGTTTCGTTTATTACGGTATAAACATCGGTACTACTATATTAATATGTCAATGAACAAAAAAGGAAATAAAGTAAAATTCGTATTCATATAATATAACCTTCCATAACAGGCAGCTCGAGTGATGTAACTAGCATTTACGCCCGAAAACAGAAATGTACTAAATTTTTAGTTGCCGTTAAGTCTGGTCCAGTTTCTGTCACACAGAGAATTTATGTAGCGACAAAAATATGTTTCAGATAATTTTAAGCTCAAATTGCACCTTTGTGATAGGAAATTAAACCCTTTCAGACAACAATTAAAGTCACTTTTCAATTGAACTTCAATCTAAGTACAATCAATCAGTTTTTAAATCATCCTTAGACCGATAGACAACTGTTAAAATTAATATTTAGTAATAAGGTAGTGTATGCATCAACAAAAAAAAAAATAAGACTAATCTATAAATAAAAGGATTTATTCAAACCCTTTAATAAATATGCTAGTCATGAAGGTATTAAGACCATAAATAAACGAGAATTAAGGTAGAAACCTGACCAGTCTGATTTACGTTCAGCAATAAATAATTAAGCAGTTAGCAGTAGCTTGTTATTTAAATAACCACACGTTACCTCCCTTATAGGAGAGAGTCATTTGTCCAGTCCAGTTGTGGACGTATTTCTGCAAATGATGACGACGAAAGACTTAGGTAGGTATGGTTAGCAATATTTAATACGTTAGAACTGTTTTAAAAGAAAGTGTTCATGTTAAATTATATATTACACCAGAAAATAATCCAGCTATTAAAAGTTCTTGTAAAAATGGTTAATTGTTTTTAAAAAAAGTAACCAACAAGTTAATACTGAATGCATAACTGAATGAATAACAGTGTAATGTTGGTAAAACAAAACTGTTCTTCTTTTATGTGATAGGTCGGCAAACGAGCAAACGGATTACCTGATGGTAAGCAATCAGCGTCGCCCATGGACACGCGCAACGACGGAGGCGTTACGAGTGCGTTGTCGACCTTTTGGGGATTAGGGATTCGGAGATTTTGGGAAAGGGAACGGATTGGGGTAGGGGAAGGATTGGGCCTCCGGTAACCTCACTTACACGGCGAAACACAACTCTTTGGTTATTTCACGCCAGTTTTCTGTTCACATAAATTTATATAATATCTGATTCGAAGATACACTGCCAAAGGAAGCAAATTCTGGAATGTGAGACTTGCAAGGTGCAAGTCTCAGTTAGTGAACGGGATCGCAGGCCAAGCGCAATAAGGTGTCGCGACGTCGGCTTGGGGCAGAAGAAAAGGAACGAGGGCGTTTTAGTCTGTAAGAGTCTGACACTTTTCCTGACCTAAAAAGAAGGAGTGAGAGAAGGCCTTAAAGAGCTCTACTGAACTCTGCTGCATAAAATTTACCGAGGGACGTAGAAACTATTGCGTTTTTTTTTCTCCTCAAATTATATCTTCTGATTTATTTCTTTGTGGGATCAAAGACAGTCTTTCATTTCCCTGAGATGTATCGGATTCAGTTTTCCGGTGTTTACATGGTTGTATCTACAGTAGATCCTCGCTTAGCAGTTGCAGCGGTTCAGGAAGACTGCGGCGGGCTTGTCATATTAAAAAAAGGCCTGAAAGAAGACCTACTGGGCGAGAGAAGTCATTTAAGGATTACCCTCCAGAAAAAAGCTTAAAGAATGATTCTGTTAGTACTCATATTTATCGATAGTTTCGATGTCAACGAGCCCGATATTGTCGTTCGAAGTTAACACGTGACAGCGATTAGTTTTTTCCTGCTACGACGGTAATTTGACGTAAGTGAATTGTTTATGACCACTTAATGTTTAAACTGAGCCAGCGACCATGCAGTTCTTATATCAGATATCTGCTTTAGCAATTTTTAGTTGCTGTGTAAGGTTTTTTATGTTCTCAATGGTATAAATAAAAAATGTAGTTAATGCTCTGGGTTTGGTTCAGGTGTTGCGGCTAGCTACCCTTCGATACGAGGTCGTGAGTCGTGCCGAAACGGCGTCAGGATTTTATAGTCCCGAGGCAAAGACACGTGGTGGGTCAACGCTGAAAACCAGCGCTGTTGTTTCGTGCCTGCGTGCGCGAGTCACAGCATTTATGCTGAGCGCTGCCCCTTTTCACGCATGAGTGACGCAATTGCAGCGCTTTTCTTTTTATGTTCATTGTTTGTTTTGTCCCTATATAGCTATATTCGCGTGTGTTTGTTTCTTGCGTCATTTGTGTGTAAAATAAATGGTTTTTCTTTCTTCTTTCATCTCCAAATATTCCATTTGTTTAAGTATTTAAAATAGTTTCAAATTTATTACTATTTCATACAAATCAATATTAGGTCTTTACATATGGAATTGCCAGTTTCAATTAAATGAAGGGCGTGTTCCATTTTTTATTTATATGTAAATCAAAGTAATTACCTATGCAATCGTTGCTTAGCTTATCGATGCCTATTTTGAAAAAAAAAACAGACGGAAGGGAGGCAACAAATTCTTCAAAGGAATATTGTACTGCTTCTCGGGTATTGATTTGTTTTCACGCAAATAAATTATCCAAGTTATCAGACGTTGTCGTGCGGAGCACAAGGACTTCACTGTCTCTACGTTCAGTTTTTCACATTACACATTAGACCACCTAACAATAATCGTCACTTTTGGTTGAGGACATTATTTGGATATCATAACCGATACCAGTTGTTTGGACCCTCCAAACAACTCGTAAAGCGCTAACGACTGTGGAACCAAATGCCAGTGCGGTTCAGGACTTCTTCATTTGTGTGCTCGTTTAGCAATGTACGCACGTCTCGACGTCACGATTTTTTACAATATTCTTTTGCTGCTAACGAAAAGTTGAGAGTTTCATCAGTTTCCACAATCGCCTTTAATTTGTCATTGTAGATCAAATTATCGGTCGACACGGGATTCATTTTTCAGGTCATCATTTCCAGAATGCAAGCGGGCAAAACCAATAAAAGGTGATGCGTTCGTTTGTTGAGTTCGCTCCGTAAACGTCGTTGATGTTGCGTGTCGCTTGTGCCACTTTGCAGCCACGACGGTCGTACTCCATGTTAATCGACTCAATTTATCTATGCCGACGAAAACTGTTTAAATGCGTTGCAAAAATACTAAACAAAAGACAATTTTAGAAAAAAATATTTAAATAATATTAATTTGAAATTCGAATAATCAATTAAAAAAAAATTAATGGCCTGTACTGTAAATTAGCAATATGGTAGTTTCCAACTCGTCAAATTCAATAATTTTGTCCTGCCTAAAAAGGTGTACGAAATTAATAATTGTTGTTTGAAAATTAAATGCATCGCTAGATTAATGAATGAAAGTATAGTTATTTTACTATATTTTATTGTATTGAAACATCGAGATAATTTACTTTTGACTACCGAATTTCACAGATAAGTTAGAGCTAAAAGAACTCGTAAGATTTAGCTACATTTTCATATAAATATGTTATATCAAAGTACACTCTAAAACGGTCAATAAATCGCAGTTACCTAGTTTTAGAAAACAGTGCCATCCACCTACATTCTACCCTTAGCGCCTACAAAACAAAGTTTTCTGTGTAACTTGATAAACTTCCAAGTAAGTTTTCTCTCTTCGCTCTATAAAACG